CAGGCAGAGCCGGGGGTCAGGCCCCAGGAAAGGGCCTCGAGCCAGGGCTGGGCGGGTGGGCCAGCGGGGGTGCACGTAGGGGGTCGATGGTAGGGGTGAGAGATCAGCAGGTCGCTGCTCTGTTTTGGACCTCAGTTTACCTGTCTGTCCAACTGGGAGGATCTTTTGTGTCCTGAGAATCAAAGTGTGGAAACCAGGATGATGATGATGATGGTGGTGGTGGCGGCCTTGTAATGAGCAGTCTCTATTACCCTCTAGGGAGGTGCTAAAGTCAGGGGCTGGGCAAGCCCTGGAAACCAATGTGGTTTGTACCTGCAGTGGGTGTGTATGGGAGACAGGACGACAGGACGGATGTCTTGCAGCCTAGGGGAGTCAGGGCCTCTCTTTGGTTCCCTGCTTTGAGCCCAGCTGCAGGCTTGGCCTGCCTTCTCCAGGGCTGAGTCCCAGGACCCACTGGAGCCTATTCTTGGTGCCCCTGGTCCAGGGTAGGACAAGGCTGGAGTGACCCAGACAGGTGTTCTACAAAACTAGAGCCCATTCATTCATTTATTCATTTACACGCTCTATCTGCACGTGCCTCAGTGTTCCTATCCCTGAGATAATTATCTAAAATTTTGATACAGGGTCCCCTGGGGGAGGAGCCATCACGTATAGGGAGCCCCAGAAATTGCCCCAAATACGCACATGTCACTGTGGAAAGGGCTCATGGCTTTCTTTGGTTTTAAATTATGTTTAAGACCCACAAAGAGAATAAGAAATGCTGCATGGAGTGCAGGGAAGGAAAATGGGTTCCCAAACTCTGCTGGAAGGCATGGCATTTGGAATTGGTCAGTATCTTGTAAGTTGGAAATGACCCTGTGTTATGAGTCAGGCTACTCCACCCCTAGGTGTACAGCTGAGAGGGCATGCAAGCTGTCAGGTGTTCATGAAAGCAAATAACTATACCTCCCCCAAATGTCCATTAATAGGCGTGTGACTAATAAATGGCTGTATTAATATCCTGGAACACCGTACAGCAATGAAAAGGAATGATCCAGACCTACATGGAATTTATTTATCCAACAGATACTATCGAACACTTACTACGTATCAGGCTCTGTTCTTAGCCCTGGATAAACAAGACAGATATAGTCCTGTCTCAAGAATGTACATTCTAGTGGCCACAACAGACATGAACAGATACAGGGATGATTTCAGAGAGTGTGATAAATGTCACGAAGAAAATAAAACTGGGTAAGGGGACAGAGGGATGGAGGGGTGGGCTGTCTTAGGTAGTATGGGTTGGGGAAGATGTGATATTTGGACAGAGACCAGAATGAGGGAGACTCTAGGAAGAGCACAGGCACTAAGGGGTTAGGTAGCCAGGGCATCTTGCCAAGGGAGGAAAACAATCTGCAAAATAATATCAAAAAGAAAAACATTCTTTACTTAAACACATGTATATCACTACCAAGTTAGATAAAGCTCTGGAAGGGTATATGCCAGATTTATGAAGGTAATTGTCCCAAGAGGGCAAGGGGACAACCTGGACTAGGACTTATGGTGGACTTTAGCTTGCCTTTAATACTTTAATTATTCAATACTTTAATATCTTAATTTTTAAAGGTAAATATACTCAAAAATAACTTGTTAAATAAAAAATATTTTAAAAGTCTACCATGGTGAAGGGGGTCGGTTCCAGGGCATTGAGGAGCCCAAGGGGTCCCTATGCACTGCCTTGCACCAGATCTAAGTTCCTGGGGGAGGGGATACAATGGATTATAGGAGCCCAGAAGAAGCACATAGTCCTGCTAGGAGGAGCCTGGAAGCTCCTTGGAGGAGGTGCCTTCTTGGCTGAGCTGGAGATTCTCTGGCCCAGTGCTCCCGGGATAGACAAGGAAGACAGGCCCACGCCAGACTTCCAGCCAGGTTAGGCCTGAATCCCTGAACCTGGGTTAGCTGTTGGGTCTTTCTCAGCCCTGCACTTCCCATCTGCCCCTTCCCACATCAGCGGCTTTGCAGGCCCGAGATCCAGTCCTGCCCCGGGGGCAGGAGAGCAGCGCCACCTGCTGTGGTAAAAGAGAAACGCAGCTCTCAGACCTCATCCAGCGCGACCTGCAGGTTATGCACCCTTCAAAACCCAGGGGCTCTTCCTTAACACTTTGGCTGCCACACTAGAAAAAAAAAATTTGCTTTCCTAGCGGCCACGGTGTGTTATTATGAAAACAGAATATAAAACTTTGAAAACAAAATGATCCTTTCTAATTTAATGAAAATTGTTTTCTGTGTGTGAGGCCATCTGAGTTGTATGTGACTCATGACATACTTACGGAGTTTATTGCTAAGAATTGAGTCTTTTGGGCGGCACCTGTGGCTCAAAGGAGTACGGCACAGGCCCCATATACCGGTGGTGGTGGGTTCAAACCCGGCCCCGGCCAAAAACTGCAAAAAAAAAAAAAAAAAAAAAAAAAAAATCCCACAATATTTAATTGTGTCTGTAGTGGTCCTTGGGTGGTCCTAGATAAAAACCTCTGAATCATATGATCATCTGTTGCATATGATGATGTGCGACAACATCGTGTCACCACATACCACCCTATCAATTTTATTCAAAAAGCTGCCAAGTGAACATTCAAGGTGAAATGCAGTCAGAAGTTATGGTAATCAGGGAACATAGACCAGCAGCGAGGTACTCAAGTGCCCTCCCCCTCCCCCACGAGCAGGGTCACAGGAGGTGAGGGAGATGACTTGATTGACAGTGAAAACAATGAGCAGAGACATATGAGTTATATATGCTTTACAAGGCCTTGGTCTCAAAACTTGTTTGAACATGAGTTAAATACAACTCACATAACAGTTAATGTGTTAAATAACCAGTCCCTTCCACTCTGTTTGGCCCCTCTTTCCCAGTGCTACTAGGGTCCCCAGTACTGCCCGTTTGGATCTTCTCTGTAAGAAGTTTCAAGAGGCTGAGACCACCAGGCCTTATTCCTGCCCAGTGGGCACAAGAGGTGTTTACTCACAGGACACAGTGGCATCTCACAGCAGCCCAGTTCACAAAACGTCCTCAGCTTCCCTGATCTTTGATACAAACCCTAGGGGTACACAGTTGACAGCTTGGAAAAAGTCCTAGGGGAGGAAAAGACTCATCCAAAGTCAATGAGTACACAAGCCCATCCCAGGACATAAATTACTCTAGGGCCCGGCCCAGGGTCTCTCCTCTCCATTGGGGGTGGGAGTGGGGACAGTCATCCTATTTAAAAATAACTTGATGCAGTCTAAGTAAGTAGCTCTCAGCTTGCAGTCCCTGAATGACTGCATTGCCATCATCTGGGAACCTGCTATTAATGGAAAACCAAATTCTCAGACCTTGCTCCAGATTTACTGAATCAGAAACTCCAGGGGCAGAGCCCAGCCATCTGGAATTTAGTAAGAGAACCCAAACCATTGGTCTAAAGCAATCACACCCGCCTTTCTTTTATTAAATAAACTTTTATTTTGGAATGATTTTAGATTTATAGAAAAGTTGCAGAGAGTACAGAGTTCCCCTGTACTTGTCACCCAGCCTACCCCAACATCAACATCTCATGTAACCATGGTGAATTTGTCAAACCAAGAAAATGACACTGATATGTCGTGTCTAACTAAAATCCAGACTTTATTCAGATTTCCAGTTTTCCTACTAATGTCCTGTTCTTGTTCCAAGATCCAATTCCAGATACCACATCACATTTAGGAATATATCCCTTTTCAGTTCTATTATTGGTTCCCTCAGTTATCTTTCCCTGGGACAGAGAATGGGTGGGAAAGCTGTTGTCCTTGTTATTGAGCCAGGGAAATTGAGACTTAAAAATGTCAAGTGACAGGAAGAGCCTGTGGCTCAAAGAAGTAGGGCACTGCCCCATATGCCAGAGGTGGAGGGGTTCAAACCCAGCCCTGGTCAAAACAAAACAAAACAAAACAAAACAAAACAAAAACAACACTGTAAAAATGTCAAGTGACTAGGTTCCCTTAGAGGGCAATGAGAACAAGGTCGCTCAATCTGAACCCTTCCTCTATCTGTTTCTTTCCCTCCAGGACTCTTGCTTTTCAGAATCCCCCCCCTGGAATGCCCCCACTGGCCTATCTCCACCCCACCAGGTAAGACAATGAGATACCCCTACTAGAGTTGGTCCAGGTCTTGCAGAAACCCACTTCCTGCCCCATCATCTCTTGCCCTAGACCCTGAAGGCCAGGGCAATGTCTCAGTGGCTTCAGACTGGGCAGAGTGAAGCCCTATGACAGAGACATAGAGAGAGAGAGAGACAGAGACACTATTATTTGCCCAACCAAAATTATTTGTGATAGATGAAAAATGATCACAAGTTCTTTGTGGCTTCTCCCACCAGGAGGTATAAAGAGGTGTAGTCTGTTTCCTATCCCTTAAATCTCAGCAGAGCCCTGTGATTTGTTGTGACCAAAAGAACTCAGCAGAAGAGCCTCTGTCCTAGTTCCAGGCCCAGAACTCAAGAAGTCTTACAGCTTCCACGCTTCTCTTTTGTAATCCTGAAGGTGTAATGTGAATAAGCCTGAGCTGCACTCCTAGAGGATACATGAGAGAGAAAACAAGTGACCCCAGTCTAAGCCTGTCCCCTGCCAGGCAAATGAATAAGGCTGTCCCAAACCATCTAGGACCAGCTGATATGGTTGCTGACCACAGCCTAACAAGGGAATCCTGGGCAAGACCAGCAGAACTGACCAGATGAGTCCAGCCCAAATTGCCAACCTAAGTTTTGGAATGGATTGTTATGCAGCAAAGGCTAACTGATATGTGATTCCTCATTTCTCTCTTGGTAATGGGATCCCAGTTTTATTTCAGGAGGAAGTGTGCCAGTCTCAGTAGATGGAACATGACTGGTCTACCCAAGTGTGACAATTCTGCTGTCCTCTGCCCTCTTTATAGCTGGGAGCCGCAAAGGTAGCTGACTTAGACCAAGGAGATCCAAGTCAAAGTATGCAGGGGGAGACAGCAGGAGACAGGCTTCTGATAGAGGTTTTACTTTCTGATAGAGTTAACAGGTTCAGCTAGCTTGGCCCTTTCTCTTCCCCCCCATCTTTTTTCCTTGAACACAGACATGATTCTTAAGAGATACAGCAGCCATCTTGTGACCATGAAGTAATAAACAATGAAGGCAAGACAGAAGAATTGCAGAGATATAAACTCTACCTTTGCTGAACTGTTGAACCAATATCCGTAGCCACTTATCTCCAGAATTCATGCTAGGTAGAAAAACAACCCCCTGGGTTTAAGCCACTGCAACCAAGATTTTCCTTTACTTGTAGCTAAAATTAGTCCATACAACAGGTTACTATTCTTGTCCTTGGGAATGTGAAACCAGTAGCATGTGGGTCTGCAAACCTTTTCTCATTTCATCCTCTCAATGATCCATCAAGAGTAAGGTTAAAACCCTGTTTTCACAGAGGTAGGGACTGGGGCTCCCATGTTGTTCAGAATGAGTCCCAGGCCTTGCACCTGGCCAAGGGGGATCAGAGTCAGACCCTCTCCCCAGGTGCAAAAAGAACACACCCCCTGATACTCCTACATGTCCAGCCTGCTGGAGGTCAGATGTGTTTTCTGGGCTCTTGGAGGTGGTGACAGGTGCCAAGGAAGCTGCTACTGCAAGTCTGGTGTGGATGCCCCCAGGTATACCCGTAGGTCCGAGAGGGTGGACTGGACAAGCTTGGCAGGGATGGTCTCTCGCTGTAGCTGCTGGTAAGCTGCATAGCGGTGGCAGCCCCCAAAGGAGTAAAAGTAGTCACCCCCCTGGGCCCCTTTGATCCAGAGGACATCAATGGGGGGTACGCTGTCTGGGTCCTCCTGGAAAGAAGGGGCACAGAGTTAGTGGGTGCTTGACAGATGGCAAAGCAAACTTTGTCAACCTATGTTGGGCTCACTGGTGCTTCCACTGGCCTGTGAGAGAGACTTGTTAAATAGCAAGGAATTTTGTGAGCTGGTTGACATCACCTTGGTAGTCTGAAAGTCAGCCATGGTGAGAGTATTTACACTAGGGAAATGGGCAAATGCTACAAATCAGGCAATTTTTATCTCCCCTAAAAACCCAGATATAAAACATTTATCTGTACACCACATACATACTCTACATGTGGCTCTGTTCCAGAGTCTGGGAAAAAGGTTCAGCCAGGAGGAGACAGACACAGCCCTTGCCTTCATGGGGCTTTAGTCTAATGGGACAGATGGAACAAAGAAGTGAATAGTAGAGTGACAAATGCTATGCCGAAAATAAGACAGGTGATATGACAGGGATTAGGGTCCCATAAGGCCACTCTGAGGTGACACTGAAATGGAGTACTCGGGAAGATGGGAAAGCAGAACAGAGTAAGGACCTGACTGCCTCAGTTCAAATCTCAGCTCTGCTATTAGCAGCTGTGTGACCGTGGGCGGTTAACATCCTTGTGCCTCAGATGCCCCATCTTTTAAGTGGAGATGAAGATAATAGACCCACCTCATGATACAGAATACGCATATAGTAAGTGAGTTAATATATGTAAAGTGTTTAGAACAATGCTCGGCACATGCAAAGCACATTCCCATCAGCGGGAACAGCAAATGCAAAGGGCCTGAGGCATGATCAAGTTCACTGTGTTGGAGGCACAGCAAGGAGGTCAATGAGACTAGAATAGACTCAAGGGCTTGAGGAGTGGAAGAGGTCAGAAGGGCAGCGGGGGCCAGCTGATGCGGGGCTGTTTCTAAGAGCAGTGGGTAGGCCCTGAAGTGTTTTAAATGGGAGGGGGTAGCATGATCTGAGGCACATCCTGGAACATTGTCACAGTTGAGAACAGGCTTCATGGGGTGGACAAGGGCAAAGCAGGCAGGACAGAGGTGAGATCTCTGAAGGTATTCAGTAGAAGATATTAACACAGACAATGGCGTGGTGGGGACAGGTGAGGGACACGTTTTTAGGGGGCAGATCTGAAGGGTCTTGTGGAAGGAGTGGATGAGGGCAAGAGAAAGAAGAGAATCTATGTGGATTTCCTGTTAGGGCCCCAAGCAGTCAGGTGGAGAGAGGGTCATCCTCTAAGTAGGGAAAGGCTGAGGCAAAATGGGGTATGGGGTAGAACATGCTGGGGAGACCTCATTGTGTACGATGACTGGAAGGCCTCCTGCCCCTGGCCCATGGGTTCTCTCCTGCTGCTTTGATGGAGTCATTTATCCATACATTCCACAAATAATTATTAAGAAGGCACAGCAGTTCTAAGCTGGAGCTCTAGAACCTGACAAACCTGAGTTTGAATCTCAGTTCCTTTACAGAAAGGTGAGGGGCCTCTGAGCAAGTAGCCTCACCTCTTTGAACACTGTTTTTCATCTGTAAAATGGGAACCGGTTTTCCTACAGGGCTACTGAGACAGTCAGTGAGCTTATGCACAAGGCGGCATCACAGCGGCACTAATAAGGGGCAGCCAGTCCAGCAGGCCCTGTGCTAGGCACAGGGGTCACGAAGGTGGGTGGGCAGAATAATGCTCCCAAAGATGTCCACATCCTAATCCTTGGAGCCTGTGAATATGTTACCTTGCATGGGAGAAGGGACTTTGCAGATGGAATTAAGTTAAGGATCTCAAGATGTGGAGATTACCCTGCATTATCCAGATGGGTCGGAGGTAATCACCAGGGTCCTTAAAATTGGAAGAGGGAGGCAGAAAGGTCAGACTGATGTGAGAAGGAGTTGAACCTCCTACCTTGGCCTCCCAGAGTGCTAGGATTACAGGCCTGAGCCACCCTACATGGCCTAAATGTGTGCTGTTTTAAGGCACTGCATTTGTGGTAATTTGTAACAGTGGCCATTGGAAACTAATACAGATGGCAAGTAAGCAAAGGCAGATCTGGTTCTTTTTTTTTCTTTTTGAGACAGAGTCTCACTTTGTCACCTTAGGTCAAGTGCTGCCGGATAATAGTTCACAGCAACCTCAAACTCTTGAGCTCAAGCAATCCTCTTGACTCAGTCCTGAGGACTATAGGTGCCTGACACAACGCTGGCTAGTTTTTCTATTTTTAGTAGAGATAGGATCTCCCTCTTGCTCAGGCTGGTCTTGAACTTCTGAGCTAAGGTGATCTACCTGCCTCAGCCTCCCAGAGTGCTAGGATTACAAGCTTGAGCCACCGCTCCTGGCCCCAGATCTGGTTCTTGTCCTCACAGAGCATATGGATCTAACATGGAAGACAGGTGTCTGAACAGACTATTAATTTCCAGTAGGATCAGAGTTATGCTGGTGGACACACAGGTTGCTGAGAGGCCATAGGAACCCCCAACCCAGTAGGGGTGGTCAGGGAAGATGCTGACCCTGAGACAGGAAGATGAAGGAGGAGTAAGAAACAGAAAGGAAGAGATGGAAGAGCTTCCTGACAGGAGCAACAGCCTGTGCAAAGGCCCAGTGGTGGAGACAGCAGGCATGATTAGATCCCTGCCTCCCACAAACAGCCACGCACTGTGTGCCAGTGCTGAGGCCAAGATTTGACCATGTCCCTCTGTGATCTTGTGGTGTTCACATGAGATGGGGAAGACTGATAATCAAACACAAACAAATGTGTAATATAATTTCTGGTGGACATAAGCACTACATGGAGAAACACCTCAGGCTCAGGGACAGCTATTAAGGCCAGGGATCCACTAGCAATGGTGGCAGAGACCTGAACCTGGTAAGTGTGCAGGACTGTGGACATCTGAGGAAGTGGCTTCCTGCAGTGAAGACAGGAGTGCAAATCCTAGGGCTGAAAGGGACCTGGGCTGTACCAGTTTGCTGGGACTTAGGGATCTCACAGGCTCAACTTTCAAGGGTCTATAGGGGAAGGGGACACAAATGCCATGTAGGCCCAGCCTGACACAATGTAGCAGCCCCCTCCCCCAAGTTCCTGGACACCCTCCCTCAGTGGTGGAGCTGACCCCTGTCTTCACCCATTTCCGATTCAGACAAGGCCCTCCCAGTTTCACTGCCACTGTCACAGCCACAAGGAACCACAGCTTCTCTCTGGAGAGTATGGTGGCCATGCAGCTGGGCATGGCCTGGCTTCCTACCTGTGAATTCCAGTTGTGCCACTTTCTAAGTGTCTGACCTTGGACAAGGTGCTAAAAATGATCCTGTGCCTCAGTTTCTCGTCTGAAAATTGAGACAGTTATCTACCTCATAGCTGTTGGTACCGAATGCTAAGGGACATAAAACAACCCCTGGGCCACTGCAAGCTATCTTTATGAGTTAGTGATCATCATTTAAACTATCTCATCCAATCCCGTCCTTGCTCACGTGAGGCGACAGGGGCCCAGAGAGCGCCAGCCACTCGTTCAAGGTCACACAGCCAGTGCCCAGCTCTGGCAGAGCCTGGAACCGGTCTGTCTGGGGTCCAGCGTGACCTCCCTCTTTCGGGGCCCTCCCTCCAGCTGACTGGCTTCCCCAGCGCCTCACCCGGATCGTGTCCACGAGGCTCTGCACCTTGGCCGGGTCCAGCACGGACGGCAGCGGCCGGATTAGCACGCTCAGAGGCACGTTGTGCACCGCGGCGATGCAGCCCGAGTGGATGCTGCCGCTGTGAGCGCCGCCGCTGGATCCGGGACCCTCGGGTGCCCCCCGGCCTGCGCTCGCCCTGCTCAAAGCTCCCCTCGCGCGCAGCCCCATCTTGCCACCGCAGCCGCCGCCGTGGGACGCGCCGCCTCCCCAGGCTTTAACTCGGGCCGGGCCGTACCATTTGGCGCGGTCGGGCGGGGGGTCCGGGCCAGGGCAGCGCGAGTTTCTCCGGGGCCCGTCAGTGGTCCGGCCCCCACCCCGCGGTCCCCAGCAGGACACCTGCCCCGTTCGCTGGGCGTGGCCCGACCCGCTCCCGGCTGCTGCTCTCCGCCGGGGGGCGCCTGGCTGCCTTGTCTCCGGCGCGCGGCTCCGGGGAGTGGAAGCGCCCGGGCGGGCTGACTCAGGGTGAGTTTGCAGGTCGGGGGACGGGAGGGGCGCGGGTGACGCACAATCCGGGGTGACTCAGGCCCTCGAGGGCGGGGAAGCGGGGGTTAGGGAGGACTGTGGCCGGACCTGCCTAGCAAGGATGAGTCGGCAAAGCAGTGCTTGGCTTCCTAGTCCGTCGGAGCCCCAGGGATGACAGCCATACGACTGGTAATACTCACAGCGTAATACTCATAACAGTTTGCACGTATATTAACTTATTTAAACTTCAAAACAACACTGCAAAGTAAGTATGATTATTATCCCCACTTAACAGACAAGGAAACAAAGACACAAAGAGATTTAAATGATTTACTCAAAATCGTGGAGTAGTAAGTGGCTGAATTAGGGTTCAAAGTTAGTCTGGCTCCAGAGTCCGCTTTCTACACCACTGCTGGCTTCCTTGGTCCCGCAACAGTGGTCGTCACAAAGAGCCTTCTGGAATAATGCTACATGGACACAACCCTAAAGTTCCACGCTGTCTCATTGTATCGTTACAGCACCACTAGGAAGTAGGTGTGGTTATTGAACCACTTGTCCAAGGTAGGTTAGTTGAAAATGAAAGTCAGGCCATCAAAGTCCAAAGTCTGGGACCACTTAACCACCAAGTCCAAGTAGGGAGGTGGATAATCTCAGACACTGTTACTGTCCTCTTTGGTTATCTTCTCTCTCACCCTGGTTGGCACATGGATGGGGAATGCATACTCACCTTGTTAGCTGGAGAAAACCGAAAGCGAAGGGGGAGTTTGTAGACCAAGGGTCCTACATGGCCTCAGCCAGTTACTGACACTTTTCTGGACCCTATCTGTAAAATGAGGTAATACTTCCCACCACTCAAAGTTGTGTGGTTGGAGAGGAGGTGCATAAGTGCTCTGTGAATTGCATCACATCCCATTTTGGTGTTGAAGATCATTCATTTTGAGTTCTGAGTCTCTGGAAAAGCCTTAGAACATGGAGGGCACTGTAAATTTGATTCCAGCCTTTTCCTTTCTGCAGTTCCAAAATATAATCCCTGTAAGCAACTAAGTCATACTTTGTTTCAGGAAATTGAACTGACACCCACACCTCAGCCCAGAATTATTGAGAATTAGAGAATTTCACCAAGAGGGAAGTTGTCCCTTCGAGATCTACTTATTTATTATAGAAAGTAAGAATGGCAGAGTAAGTTTTGGAGTGGAAAAGTGGAGATTTGATCTGAATCTCTCATCATGGTATGCCCAGCGAGGCCCCACACCTGCTATTAAATTCTGTATGTTAAGATACCTATGGCCTAATTCAAAATGGCTTAAACATTAAGATTTGGTCTCACATAATAAGATGTTTGGAGGTAGGTGTCTGCAAGACTGGTAAAGAGGCAGTTAAACAATACCATTAAAGGCTCAGCGCCTGTGGCTCAAGCAGCTAAGGCGCCAGCCACATACACCTAAGCTGGCGGGTTCGAATCCAGCCTGGGCCCGCCAAACAACAGTGATGGCTGCAACCAAAAAAACAAAAAAATAGCCAGGCATTGTGGCGGGCGCCTGTAGTCCCAGTTACTTGGGAGACAGAGGCAGGAGAATCGCTCAAGCCCAGGAGTTAGAGGTTGCTGTGAGCTGTGATGCCGTGGCACTCTACCTAGGGTGACAGCTTGAGGCTCTGTCTCAAAAACAAAAACAATATCATTAAAGACCCAGGTCTGTCCATCCTTTTGTGCCATCATCTCCAGTGTTCTGGCCTTTATCCTCAGGTTTGCCCCCTTGTGGTCTCAAGATGGCTGCAGTAGCTCAAAACATCACATCACTTCCTAAGAATGTTCAAAGTGGGAGTTAAGATATCCCTTCTTTATGTCACTTTTAAAAAGTTTTTTTTTTTTTTAAGAGGGTAGTGCCTGTGGCTCAGGGAGTAGAGTGCTGGCCCCATATACCAGAGG